CCCCCCTTCCCGCCCCCCCTTCCACTGCAGCACATGGGAAGCAAAAGTTTTCCTCCTCCTCCTCTTCCTCCTCCCCCTCCCCGCCGCCCTCCGCCGCGGGAGGGGCCGGGGGTGTGAGACCCCCGAGGGGAGCGGCTGGGGGTACGGGGGTGCCTCTCAAGTCAGCCTTCTCCGCTGACCCCGGCAGGGGGCTGTAGCCAAGCAGAGGCGGCATCTCTGTGCTCCGTCCGTATCGCCCCCCCCAGATTTGAGCCATCTCCCGTGTTCATTTTCCCCTCTGCTCCAGCAGCGACAAACCCACAGCCCCCCTGCGGGCACCTGTTGCTGGCAGGAGGCCGATGAGGGACACCTGCATTAACTAACAAGGAGGGCAGCTTCAAATGTTTTTTTTTAAAACCTCAAGGTTTTTCAGAGTGGTGTTTTTTCCTTGGGAAAGTGTGAGCTGATGAAGGCATGAGGACAGTGCAAAGAGAAGGATGTAAGATGAGTTAAGCTATTTCAAGGTTTTCTAGGTAGCTTTGTCTCTCCAAAGAGCTGTCCTTAACATGGGCTGTTCTTTTCTGGCAGAGCCTAACTTGTTCTATCCGGGTGTGTGATGCACAGCTGTATTGGCAACAGGCAGAAGAGGAAAGTCACAGCCCTGCTTACCCCGTCCCTGGAAATACTCGTGGTCACACTGGACGGGGCTCTGAGCAGCCTCATCCAGTTGAAGATTGTAGGAGGGTTGGACTAGGTGACCTTTAAATGTCCTTTCCAACCAAAACTGTTCTATGATTCTATACTTTGCAGGACAGGCAAAGCTTCCTGGAGCCTTGTCCCTGTTCTGAGCTTAAATCTACTGTTGAAGACCCCCGGGTTGATAATAAATCTTGCCTGCACCAAGAGCCTGACTGTCAGGTTGGTTTATCTCTTACCTGAGCTCACGAGGATACTTCCTCCGGAATTCTGCCAAGTTCTGTATTTCAGGCATCTGGGGAATAAGCAACAATCATAACAATTAATTCTTCAGCAGCAATTCCCCTCCAAGAATCATGCACAGTTTTGTAAATGTTAATCAAATGAGCTTTATGGTACTGCTGGGAAGTAGCTGAATGGCATTCCTGTCTCCCTCATTTGCAGATGGGAAAACTGAGGCACAGCTTTCCTGTAAGGTTATGATATATCCAAAGTAACCAAGTTTTTTTATGTTTGTTTTTTTTTTTTCCCCAGCATCTTAAGTGCATTTGCTCTGTTGTTTGAGGTGTCTGCCAGAAGAAGGGTGAGACTCAGCCTACTGGAAATCAGGTGATTTGGCTACTGGTCCTGGGTACAGCTTCCAGAAAACATTATATCCTTTCCCTGATGATTTAACTGATTATTCCAGACTTGGTGCTTAGCTCTGTCTGGAACCAGAATAGCACTGATGTGGTGCTTCATGCAGCCTAAGTCAGCCATGGACGATTCGTGTGTAGGTCCAGGGATAATCTTGTTGCTGATTCACGTATCCTCAGTTCAAGAGACACTTTGCCTACACTCCACAAAGGGTGTGCATCAGCCAGCCTTACTGTCCAACTGTTTCTTTACATAAATGTCCTGGGGGGTAGTTGGATGCTTCAGCATCTCTTCAGGCTGTTTGTCAGGAGCTGGAATGTCTTTTGTCTACATCTTGAACACTGAGGAGGCAGCCTGTGGGATGAGGGATTTGAGTCTCAGTTTTGCCTCTATTCAGCACATTCTTTTTTTTTTTTTTTTCCCCTCCTGCTCTCATTAATTATTTCCTCATGTGCTGGTTCCTGCCTGAGAAACACTGGGAATTCCTGAGGTTTTGATAGACAGTACTCTGGAAAAGGTTAAAATCCTGGATTAGGGAATGTATATCTGAGACAGATTTGATTGACAGTTTCTGCAATCTAGCACTTTGCTCTTCTGCACTGTAGTAAACTCAGTTCTAGATTTAGCTCCGTATTTCTCTACCAGATCTAGGGGCAGATGGACAGTACATCCCCAGCAAACAGCCAGAGCGTTTGCTTCTTGCTCATGCTTTGCCTGTACTTATGTTCTGTGGCCTGCTAGTGAGATCCCAGTAAACTGAGAGCTGATCCCACTTCCCCTGCAGCCAGTGATAAAATCCTCCACTTCGGTCCTGTTCTTCCACATCCAAAAAGTAAAAAGGCCCACAGCTTTAGCTACTCTATTATAAAGTGTTTTTCAGTTTTTAGGAAAAGCTAAACTGTAGGACCCCAAGGAGATCAGTGTATCTCAGTAGAGCACTCAGCCAAAATCAGAGCAAGCTTGTTCATGTAGATGGGAAAATAACAGCAATGAGATTGGGATTCCTTATTCTAGGGAACATTCCCCCATAATTGAAGTCTCTGTTCTAAGACCCACAGCACAAATCCCCATCTTCAGAGACTTCATTTTCATTGTGCCTAATTTGTATTTAATATTTTAGTCTGACTAGATCTTTATGTAGATCAGAAGTTCTGTGCACCAGATGAAAAGGGGACATCTCAATGATTTTGCAAGGCCTGGTTTGGCTATTGACCTGCTATTCACTTTTGCACTTTTCTCTTTTAACCATGCATGCTTTCTGAAAAGGGATACTTTCAGAGGGTACTTTCTTGAGCACATTACTATGACATGCCTCATCTCTAAGCATCTACAGCCACTAGGCACAAGTATTTTCAGGAAGATGCAGAGGAGGAGAGAAGCACTCTGAGCTAAACAAATTAACCATAGGTGACATCCCTCTTCAAATCCAACTCAAAATGCTTTGTGCCCTGGGGATTATCTGATCATCTCCTTTTGCTTCCTCTAATCCAATGGGTGATCACATCTGATGATAGCTTTAAAATAATAATCTGGACAAAACAAGCAATTCCCATGGGAAAGCTCAGACTGTATGTACTTGTAAAGAAAATGCCACTTTTTCCCCTGTAGAGCAAGCCATGAGTATTAACCATCTGCGTGAATATTGCAGTCCTGGAAAGCTTCATCGTTTTAATCAGAGCTTTGGATTTCATAGCAGGCATTTAATCGGCTGTGGGAGTGTTTTCAGCCAGGTTATGTAAATGCTGTCGAGAAACCAAGTGTCTGAAAAAGATGCATGTAAGGAATGTGCTAGTAAGAGACAGAGGGGAGGCTTTATTTTTTAGGGGTTGCAGTTTCACACTAGTTTTTAAAAACCTACTGATCAAATTGGCAACATCCAGAGCCCACGAAATTGGCTAAGCAGGACACTGTAGTCCTACAGCCTTTATGGGTCTTGCAAGTGCCTTCCAGGGAGACCCACTCTAGGAAAGGAATCTAGTGCATAAACGTTGGGGGGTATAAGCTGAGCAGGAGAGGAGCTTGAAGCAGGAGTCTGGTCTCTGAGAAATGACAGGCACAAATGTTTAAAAAATAAAGTTTTCTCAAGTGGGCATCTGTGCATGTATGTGCATGAATTTACAGCACTAGAAGTGTCTGTCATGCACCTCCTGGAGGTGCCTTCCCTGCCACACACAGAAATTCCCAATTAATTTCTTGCAGGAATGAAAGTGCCGTAAATTAAACAATTCCTAGGGGCAGCTCTCATCTCAGTCTCTCCAAGGTTAAGGGGTGGAAAGCTGAACCATTCCTTCCTTCCCATAACAAGAAGTGACAGCTTCTAATTAGGATCCATTAGAGGGTGCCCCAGGGAACCGATGGGACCATTTTGCAGAATGCATTGTTGAAATGATTTTTTGTCTTAGAATGGCATGTTGGCTCAGCTCTCTCAGTTATCTTCCCCAAGCCTACGTATATACTTTGAGTCATCTCACTGCTGTGCCATGCCTAAAAGAAATCATATGAGATCTCACGAAATCTTGATGTTCTCAACAGCCCTGTCAGACTTTAGGGACTAGTGCTGAGCAAACTGGGCAAGAGAATGTGGATGGGGGGAACATAATAAGCATAAACCCTGAGTTTTTGAGGTACAAGGTTCTAGGGTCAAACTCCTCATCTAGAAGAGTATTCCATAGAAACTGGAACTCAATGTGATCTCTGCTTACATCCGCAACTACTAGATTTGTCAACACAGCCAGCAGGCTGACACCAGTGGAAAGCCACTATCCATCTAGAGGCTGTTGGTAACTTCAAGTTCACAGAACATATTTTAAGTATGCAATTAAGGTACAGAGGAGATAAACTGCCTCCCTGAAGAATCAATCATACCTCACACCAGTTTAGTGTACAGCAGTGTTCCCGGCCTTCAGGAAGAGCACAGCTCTTCAGTGGAAAGGCCAGAGAAGGATCTCACACTGCCAGAGATGCTCCAAAACGCATTCGGGGAGCTCAGATAATTTTGAACCCACCTTATTGAAATCCACCCCGATGATTTTGACTTTAGTACAGCATCTAGGCTGGAAGGAACCTGTCCTTCATGTTGCTCAGTTCTGAAATCAATGACACATACTCAAGACAAACCATATTTAGTAATGGCAGACACCCCTCGAGAGCATCTTGTAAGACTGTTCCAAGACAACCCCTATTTAGCCATTCCTACGGAGAAGCACCCATCCAAATTCCAGCGGAAAATGGCTGATGTCTGGATATTTTGGCATCTTACTTGGTACTTTCCTTAAAACATCAGCTCCCAGAGTCAAAGCATTGTGAGAGAAACTCATTATTCTGTCAAAAAATAATCTATATTCCAAGCACTTATAGTGACAAAAAAGCTACACAATATGAACTAGTGCATCTTAATTCCTCTGGAAAAAGAAAGCACATTTACTTTTAAATTCCACCTCATCTTTCACAGTTTGGACTGGTAATCTTCCTGCAAAGAGGATACCATGCCTTGAGTGAGAAGAAGCTGTTCTGAACCAGTCTGTCATTTGGGTTCCTTTTAAATCAAAAGCAATGAGAATTGGTTTCAAAGGGACAAAACAAA